GTGGTGAGCACGCAGGCTGGAGCCGGCCGTCCTGCACGGAGGAGCTGCAAGTTCCCGGGCTCCGCGAGGACCACCTGGATCTGGGCGCGTGGTGGCCACTCCCACTCCGCTGCCTTTCTCAGGACCCCCGGCCGCGGCAGTAATGATGGCAACAATAATTACCATATTGAGGACTCACTGCTTAGCATGCCCTCTACAAAGGACTTTCCATATACTAGGCCATTGATACCACACACCAACCCTTCAAAATCGGTTTTATTTTATTTTTTAATTTTACTGATGACGCTCCTGTCATTTTTGCATGACTTGCCCCAAGAGGTCACACAGCCAATGAAAGATTCACACTCGTGTCAGCCCCGGGACGCCCAAACGATTCTGTCTTAAGAACCAAGCTGGTTTGCGGGGATCAGCGAGGAAGGGTCAAGAGGGAGGTGAATGGTTATTGGGAAGAGGGGAGGGGTTCCTCCTCTTAAGGCAGTGGCTGAGAGCAGTCCGGGGATGTTGAACAAGTTCTGTACCTGCCATCAGGGGGAGACAGAGGCCAGGCTAACCTTCCTGTCTGGGAAGGGGGACAGTGGTATCCAGGAGTTGATCGCTAGGCCTCCAGGGACACATACCACCCCACCCATGGTCCAAATGGAGACAAGGCCCTTGTGGCCCTACTGCAAGTCAGGGGTAGCCCTCAGGGGCCACCAGCACCCGGTTCACGGTTGGGACTCCACCTCTAGGCTTTGTGGGCAGTGTGCTTCCTGACCACAATCCTCTCTGTTCAGGGGCTAAACTGTGCCCCCCAGAAGAGTAGCTTTCAAATAAAAATCTCATAATGGTCATTCAGGTTTTTAGACTTGCTGTAATCATGCCTGCACTCAGGCCAGAGAGAGAGCCAAAGAAAAAGACGTCACAAGAAGAAGAAGAAGAAAAAAATCAGTCCCTAGGCACAGAGAATGGCGCAGGCAGCGATGCGGATAAAGAACATGCTACTGCTATGGGCATTTCCTTCCTGTTTGAGGAAAAAGTGGAACCAACGCTCAGATCAACGGCATAAGCAGCAAGCCAAAGGCTGAAGAAAAAAATATAACAGCCTGGCTATTTTTATTATTCAGTGTTTCTGGGGCAGGTTGCTTACCACTTCTCTGTGGCACCCAGCTCCCCAATCCCTGCGCTTTGCAGCACCCAGCAGGGTGTAGCTGCAAGTGGGCCACAGAGCCAGGGCCCAGGGAGCCCTAGTTCCAGCACCAGATGGTCAGCAGGGAAGTCAACAGCTCTCCTGGGCTCCAGAACAGCCTGCTGACCATGGCCGAGTCCTCAGGCTCTCCACTCCCTGAATCTCTCACTTCCTGTTCTTGGCATCATCAGCTTCCTCCTCCTCAGACTGACCCAGAACCTGGTGAGAAGGCCATCACCTCTACTCCCCCCTGAGGCAGCAGAGAGTGAGAAGGAAAAGGAGAGAGAGAGTGGGGGGGGGCGGGGGGAGGGGTGTGAAGAAGCAGACTCGTGAGATAGTCTCTTCTGCTAAGAAATGAGACTCAGTGTCAGGCCTCAGCTAGGGCAGGGGCTGGGCATCCTTAAGGTTCCTTTATCCAGGCTACATGCAGTGGCTCAGAGCTTAGAATTGAGCTTTTCCCCCTTGCCTTTCCCCTCTCCATTTCCCTGACCCCAAAACCCTCCTAACCTAAGAGGGTTGTCCCTTCTCCTAAGAGACAAAAACCACAGACTACCAGCTTCTCCCATTTGTCTACCTCCAAAATCTTACCCTGCAGAGATTAGAACATTGCAATGATGTCGCAATTTTT